AACTCAGACGAAGGCATGCTGTATACTCGTACTCGCCCACAGGAGTTGGCAGACAGTGCTCCTATACGGCATATTAATTCGGAAGGGGGAACTTTTTTAACGCTAGACACTGTTAAATTTCCTGACGATCGATGAAACCAAAAACAACATTCAAACCAAAATATCGACCAATATGGGGCGCTTGAGTAAGTGACGCCGTTCAAGAACATGCCTCGAGGTAAATATATGGTCGATGCATCCTCGGCCAGGACGAAACCCCACTTGCCTCTCACGAGTTCGTCTCTCCTGATAATTAAAATCAAGCCAACGACCACAATCAAATAACGTACACAAAATGTGGCCAGAGAGCACATTGGATGCCGCGGCTACCAGGGTGATGCCACTATGGTTTTCGCACGGCGTTCTTGTGCCGTTTTCGAAGATGAGGATAAGGTCAAAACGCTTTATTCCACTAGTATTCTTTTTCCACAACAAATCATCCGTTGTAAGGTTGTCACCAGGACCTTACAGTCTTTCTTGAAAAGTGAGGGTTTTAGACCATCCTGGGCGAGTGCACTGGAAGAATATCTTGCGCCGGATTTCCGCTGTTGACGGCGGGATGGTGTCGATGTTCCCTTCAGGCCAGATGGGTTCTTTCAGGGGTTGTACTGGCGAACGCCGGCTGAATCGTTCATTGAATTGTCCAAAAACCACTCAAGACGATTGTGAGTGAAATGCAGCTCCGTCCTTTTCGCATGCTGTTTCATCGGCAATTGTCTTCTTTCGGCAGGTTCATCGAATCAGCTATTGCATGCACCAGAGACCTTCCGTCATTTTTCAACCTCCTGATTATCTGGGCGAGATGGCTGAGTGGTAATAGGGCGAATTTACTGCCCGAAAGTTCATGGTTCAAACCTGACCTCTACTTTTCGATTTCCCCGGTCTAGGCTTGGGCAACCTTGCTGTATCCCAGTCCTCATGTTTTCTTCTGGTGGTATGGCATTTAGCCACCGAAAGGGTGCTGCAGCTGAACGATATTTTAAAATCATGATTACCTGGTGTTTGAGGAATCTACGTGCGTTATCATTGTCGCTAGTTGCTGGTATGGCCTCTCTGGCAGCAATAAAACCTGCTGATCTCGATGATATCCAGTGTTCACTTGGTCGAGTGGGATGAGTCTGACGGACAGTTTTGAAAGTTGAGAACATAGCCTCTCTAGTGTGCTTCCATTCAACCTCCAAGCCATCTTCGTCAACCGCACGATGCTGCTTTTGCAGATCAGCTCGAGACTTCAGATTGCTGAAGTTGGACGGATCTGCTGTTTCGGCACCCATAATACTGACGGAAGCAAACTAATAGCCATGTCCGCACAGCGGCTTGATTGGAGTCAAGATACGTACGCAAGAATGAACGGAAATATTGAAATGAGACTCTCCATCAGTAACTGATAGCCATATGGTCCAATCCAGTTCGACTGTTTTGCGGGTGGTGGCCTCCAAATAACTCGATGAGGGCGTTTGTGCTGGGAGTTCGTAATGGCCAGGAATACACGATGAAAAGCACACAGCTGGAGTAGTCGCTCCCCATTATATGTACTCTCAGGATCATTTCAAAATCTACCACTCAATTGTGCTTCTTCCAAATTGCACATTCATATGACCTTCCATGATTACTATATCCATCCTTCTTTCTGGCCGAAGCAGCTGAGACGCACCTAGATAGAACCCGTCCCTCATACTCAAAACCGCAGTCTATCAGGGCGTATGTTGATAACGTAAATAAACGGCTTACCTGCATTGAACAGGACAACCGCACAGCGCAAAGACAGTCGCTTATTGAGATTCAGTCCAGTAAAGGGCTTCCAGCCTAAGGCTAAGTGAAACTGCCACACCTTAGACACCACCAGTTATTGTCAGGATCGCCAAATATCCGAAGAGTGAAATGTGAAATTTCCGAGTTTATTTTAAGCGGGTTGAGCTGCACGACCAAAGCAGAGTCTTGTACAGTGTTTCGGAGACAACAAACATCGACAAATAGAGGAATCGAGGTTTCAGCATGAGATACCTGCTGCCCAATTTAACACAGAATAAGCACACTGAAGGCCCCAAAGTGAATAACATCTTTGTAGCGTTCAGCTGTAGTACCCTTCCGGTGCCGAGCTGCCATGCCACTCGAAGGAAGCACGAAGGCTGGGATACTGCCAGGTTGCCCAAGCCTAGACAGGGGAAGTCGAGTGGCGGGGGTCGGATTCGAACCGCGGACCCTCCGGTCAGTAAATTCGCGCTCTAACCACTTCGGCCATCTCGCCACATCTTTGTAGGTTAGTAAGGAATTATTTTGCCGATTGAGAGTTTAGACGCGGAGCAATGGCTACAGGGCTGACAGATGGGTTGATCGTAATGCATCATTCGACGGGTTGGGAGGAAGACAAGTGAACAAAGAACAGGAGAAACGAATAATACTTTCCGGTTGCACAAGCCGAAGACTTGGGTTTGATTGAGGTACCTCAGGTTGGCCTTTGCCTCGAAAGTCCGACCTACTACGTGGTAGGAAGATGCGGGGTCTTGTCCGGGTACTAGTCCCTTAAACTTTGTCTCGAAAGTCTGGACCACGAGGCAGCGGTTGTTGAGGATTACTTGAGGGGCCGTTTCCGGAGCCAACGACACAATATACTAACCGGCCTAGTTGAAGAGGACAGACCTGGCCCGAGGGTTCAAAGCGTAAGGCATTACTACCTCACATCTAATGCGGCTGTGCATAGCAGGTGTCTTTTATGTACCATTAGATCCTTCGGTTTTAAAAGTAATTCGACGGCATTTAATAACGCACAGGCGGTCACGGTCAACTGTCGGGCAATCGGAACGTGTGATTTTAGGGCTGACCTTTTTTTAACCCGTCCTTCCTCTGAGAAAGGCAACATCGCTGCTTTTGGACACGTGAAGGAAATACCCCACCGTGTTCATACACCTACCGTAAAGTACAGTACGACTTCTCATAAGGTCATCCCGCAACCCAATTCCTCGCAGCGTGAGGAAGCACCCCACTTCGCCGGGCCGCTTATCGTCGGCTTTCTTGACATGGTCGAACTTTTGGGAACAAGGTGATAATCGTAGCTGTAGCAATCTTTCGGTGTTTAGCTGCCATGACACACGGAGGCACGAAGGCCCAAGCCTAGACAGGGGAAGTCGAGTGACAGAGGTCGGGTTCCAACCATGGTGAGTAAATTCGCGCTCTAACCGACCTCCGCCACTCGACTTCCCCTGTCTAGGCTTGGGCAACCTGGCAGTATCCCAGCCCTCGTGCTCCCTTCGGGTGGCATGGCAGCTAGGCACCGGAAGGGTGCTACAGCTGAACGCTTTTTTTTACTAGGTGACAATAATAGCCGAATTCTGCTAAACCCTTCGGAGGACTAGCTGCCTTGCCACCCAAGTGTAAAGATAAAAAGACAATCGTTCATCTGAAACACCCTTTCGATACTTAGCTATCATGCCACTAGAATGTCAGTTCCTTTCGGACAACGTGGAAAACAATATCAGCATTGGTTTCCCTGCGAGACCCGAGATATCTGTGGAGCTCAGTCACTGAGACCTGATCGCATAAATCATTTCAACCGATAGCATCAAAACAAGAACCTATTGCGCCTATTCCTTTTCTCGGTTCAACTTTCAGTGGTCTAGGTGTTTAAGTCCTGTTGCTTAGCTATCATGACAAAACGTTTGGTAGTCATCCCCAAATCACCGGAATCAAGGAGCCTGTTGACGGCTGCTTTCAAATGGCGCATATCATCATACCGTTCAATACGCGTTGCTCCGACAGAATCGGGTAACAGAAACATCACACATTGCTCGCAAAATGGGTAGTGTCGTCTTCATCTGAGTAGTACTCACCTGTTAGCTAGTGGGTTGACGACTAAGCCAAGCGGCAGTGTGCCTATTGGGACAGAAGGTATTCCAAATGTGCACAGGGCTCAGAAATTCAGTGGTTTCTTTGTTATCGGAGTCATACGCAGTGGAGACTTAACAACAAAACCTGCGATCCTTTTGTGTCACATTCCAGGGTAACGCCTTAGTGTTGAACATCGTCTGAGCATTCTAGCATACTGCAGATGTGTGACCTCTCAGCGAGCAGTGCGTATGGCGTCTGAACCACCATGGGTACTAGAAGGAAAATGCTTCAATCAACGAGTGCGAGTCTTTCGGTGCCCTACGATGCCTAGATCTTGAATACCTGACCTCCGCAATACAAACGACGCGAAGGAGAGGGGCGATATAGCTCGATGAATTCAGTGACCGGAAGGTCCGTGGTTCAAACCCTACTTCTGCATCTCGACTTCCCCTTCTAGGCTTGGGCAACCCGAGAGTATCTCAGCCGAAGTGGTTCATCATCATCATCAACGACAGCATAGCAGCTAGGCCCAGAAAGGGTGTTACAGTCGAACGATTAATCATCCCAATTAAACGGCTCGACCATCCAACAAAACTAGCAATTGTCTTTTCATCCAGAGAGACTAGCACGTGCGATCAGTCGCGACATATATAATGCAGTGCAGGTAAACCAAAATAAGGTGAGCTCTATTTAATGAGCTCCCCATAGGTCACAAAAGTGAAACATCGAATTTGTGGAATCGATCATCGGGATTAACAGCAACGGCTGATGCTATTACCATTGGCAACTGTATAGTTAAACATAGTTGCTGGACGGCTCATTAGGTATCAATGATTTGTGTCAACAGTGAACTGTGTAAGCCGCCTGGGATTGTGTTTTAAAAAACGTTTTACCTAAGGCAAAGACGGGGTGCAACTGGAAAAAAAGTGAAAAGCGCTGTTGCAGTGCACATAAGGCAGGTCATATTTGTTATTAAAATCCTACAAAGCCTTTCATGAACTCCTCACAGGTCACCAAAATCAAGAATTGAAAAGTTGTGGTAATAGTGACATTCGACAGCAAATCCCACATTCGCAAATTCCTTGCTATAGGCGCTCAGAAGTGGGCACATCTGGATGACGATCAGGCATGCTTACCATTCGTTGGCCTCTTCCCCGCCTTTTTAAGCACATCGATCGGTTTATAGCCTCCAGGTGGGGGCATCTCCTGCTTGTAGTTCACCATGGCAGTTAGCTCCGTGCACTAGCCGAAAGGCAGATAGGGTGCTCCGAAAACTGAGCTCCAATTGGCCGAACGCCTTGGAGATAACCAGTGACCTACAAGCATAAACTAAAGCCGTAGAGCGGTATGTCTAACGCCGCACGCTATTGGCACACCCAAATTGAGTTCGCCGAAACTACCCGGTTAGCACGCGTCCGCTCCTGAGTGCAGAACTTGTGCGGAATTAGTGCAGAACTTCTGCACTAATTTTCGGCTTTTAAGCCTCGCGAGCTTGAGACGTTTAATAGACATCAAAGCTTCTTTATTTGTCTCACAGTAATAAAAAACCACAAAACCCTGCATTTCCGTGTGCCTAGGAAATGCAAACGGTCAACCGATTTAAGTGGTTTTGT